CTTACAATAAGATTTTAGAATTTATAAAGTACAAACAGCTTCCTGTGGGAAATAGATCCTGTTTTGGGTACAAGACATAGATAAATAGTTTCATGATTTCAAAAACTGGACACTAGATGGGACTAAACATTTTAGGTAGAGGAAAGATATAGAGACCTGTAAGATGATGAAAAACATTATAACAGTAAAAATACTGAAGGAGACCTTTGAAGAATGGAATCAGAAAATAGTAGCCACAATATCAACAATGTCAGTAATAATGTCTCCTTCTATGGATAGACTATGTCCAAAAGATGTTACTGAAGAAATGACAGATTTAGAACAAATTTTATTGGATAAGATAGAGATGGTATCAAAAATGGTTTTACAACTGACACATCAAGAGAATGATTTAGAAAAGGATGTTTCACTGGATCTACAAAAGGAACTGGCTGAAGCTTTGAAATGTAAAAAGGAAATACATTCTGTGCGATGGGCAAAGAAAAAAATGAAGAGAAATCAAATCCTATGACAATATTTGAATGAACTAAAGCTTAAGACTATTAGAAGTAAAAGGAAGGAATACAAGGTTGGTTTATTCGATCAAGGTTAAAACAAGATACGCTGTTACTTCTGGCCACCCTTTATGGACTTTCTGCTGACAACAGGACTGAAAAGATGATGTTTTATGGATTTGTTTATAGACAAAAATGGGATATGGGATGAATAGATAATGTTTGTAACTTTAGAGAGGGTGAAGAGTTCCTAAATTTGTTTATACTTGTGACAAGGTTGGAAGTCACTTTTTAATATATTTTTTCTTTCGTTATTCTCACTTTTCTCTTCTTTCTTTTTCCTTGCACTTTTTGCTTCTCTCTATTCTCTTTTCTTTAAGTTTAGTTTGTATTAGATTTTACTATTATAATCAACATTCTTAATAAAAAAATTACATATATGTGTGTGTGTAATGAGAAAAAAAATGAATTTGAACGATTATATCAGGCTGCAACATAACAAAATTGAAAAAAGTGAAGAGGGCCTGAATACTTTCCGAATGCACTGTATATATGTATAAATTTGTGATGGAATTATGAAGGCCAGACTCAGGGAGAAAAACATTTTCTTTCATCTCCTGAGGCGC